TGTAAATTTCTTTAACTGCAAGCTCCGTGATTTGACAATGTTTACCAAGCGATTCCTTGCTTCACCTTTCAGCAATCCAATTTAGCGTGACCAAAATACCATCCGGCGTCTATACGGCTCTCGCGGATGAGCACGGCGATCTGCTGGACGCGGGCAACGATATCAACCTGCGCTGGATTGCCAACAGGACGTGGATCTACAGCACCGATTTTGAAATAGGTTTGACCAGGTTACTCGACTGGCTTTTGCCTGAACTTTTGAAAATTCCCAACTATTTTCAGCTGACGAATTGGGTCTGGACAGCTTGGTGAATCTGACCTTCCATGGCATCGATACGATCGCCAAGATCTGGTTAAATGGCGAACTCTTGGGTGAGACCGACAACATGTTCGTCCGGTACTCCTATTCGGTCGGTCATTTGGTGCGCTTCAGTCCACTTCAAAATCAGCTCGAAGTGGAGATACTCTCGCCCCTGGAGGAGGCGAATGCACGTGCCCAACAGCTGGAGGCGAAGGGCAACAGCGCACCGCCCAGCTGCCCCTCATCCCGCGGCGATGTGGTCTGTCATCACAACATGTTGCGCAAGATGCAGATGAGCTTCGGCGGCGAATGGAATCCCGTGGCACTGTCATCCGGCCTCTGGAAGCCGGTTACCCTGGAATACTATACGGCTGCGATACTACGAGATGTGGATGTGGCCATCAATCGCAATGATACCCATTGGACAATGGACTGTCGTGCCTTTCTCAACACACCCGACTCGGAGAGTTTCTATGCCCAACTTGTGGTCTATGCCAGGTGAGAAGTGCTCGATAGACAGTCGGGCTAGCTTAGAGTTCAGCCATGTGTCCTGGAATAAGTAGGATAAGTGTTAGGATCACCATTAATCCGATGAAAGTATAGACTCATGACTTCGCAAATCCAACCGCCTTTTGTTAATTCAATATATTCTTACATCAGCTAATGGATATTCCTCCTCTTACCTTCTTCCACTAGCGAACTCTTGGATGAGCCTTTTGTCGTGGAGCAAAAGCAGCTGGGCCATGCCTCAGCCACGCTGGAGTTTCAGGTGCACATACCCAAAGTACGTAGCCCACATGTCCTGCAGAGGCTTTCAGCTAATCATTCACAATGCTTAGGCGCGAGTCAAGCTCTGGTGGCCAAATGGTTATGGGGCACAGCAGCTGTATCCCGTGCTCTTCAGCCTGAAGAGCTATCGCAGCGAGACGGGGCCCGAGTTGAGCTCGCGCACGGATTCGCAGAAGCTGCTGCACATTGGCTTTCGCACCATCGAGCTGGTGGAGGACAAGGATGGTGGGTAGACCTTTAATCCACTCTTCTGTCAAAGATCTTAACCGCCTTGTGCCATTTCAGAGCGTGGTCGAACCTTTTATTTCCGTGTCAACGGACATCCGATCTTCATGAAGGGCGCCAACTATGTGCCGGCTCACACCTTGCCCGAGTTGTCTGCGGATTCGGATACGAGTGAGTAGCTGGCTTCCTTAAAAATCCATGATACTAGCTAATCAATTGATTTCTGGACAGTTAAACATCTGTTGAAGTCCGCCCAGAGAGCCAACATGAACATGATTCGCGTCTGGGGCGGCGGGCTCTATGAGTCGGACACCTTCTACAGCCTGGCGGACTCCTATGGCCTGCTGGTGTGGCAGGACATGACCTACACGAAGGCAACCTATCCCATTGATGAGGAGCGCATGGCCTCCATGCGTCTGGAGACGGTGCAGAACGCCCAACGACTCGCCTATCATGCCAGCCTGGCTCTGATTGTGACCAACAACGAGATCGAGTTGTATCTGGTGAAGAATCGCACGGACTTTGGCACGGATGCCAAGCGCCTGGAGGACGAATATAAGCTGCTCTTCGTGGGCAATCTGTGTGCGGAGCTAAACATAATCTCTCGGAATGACTTTAGCCCGCGTCCAGGTCCCATGATCTCCACGCCCTCCCTGGGCATAACAGAGTCGGGCAAAGAGCTGGCCAAGGATCCGCAGAGTCCGGATTTTGGCGACGGTGGGTAATATTGTCTTTACTCTGTTCACATTGATATATTAATTGCCCCATCTGGTCACAGTTCACATCTACGAGGACGAAAGGGACGCGCTCTCGCAGAGCACTTACCCGCAGGCTCGTTTTATTTCCGAGTTCGGCTCTGGCAGTCTGCCCATGCGCTCCTCCTGGCAGCGTCTGCTGGGCACAGACACAAGCGAGGAGTCCCTGGCGGCACTTATACGCCAGCGCCAGCATAATTCCAAAGGCTTTATACCACTCTTACGGCAAATAGCCTACCAGCTGCCGTTTACGCTGCAAAACTGGGAGGACAACATCGACGAATTCATCTACTTCAGCCAGGTGTCGCAGGCCATGTCCACCAAAATGGCCATCGATCTGTTCCGGAGCCGGCGTGGAGATTACCAGACCATGGGCGCACTCATCTGGCAGCTAAACGATGTGTGGGTGGCGCCCACCTGGTCCTGCATTGATTTCCATGGCAACTACAAGCTGGTCTACTACTGGGCCAGGGATTTCCTGGCGCCCATCAATATCATTGCGCTCTACAACGAACCCAACGATCAGCTCAATATAACTGTCACGCGCGAGGACTATATGGAAACTGCCGATATGCAGCTCTATAATATATTCATCAATACGTTTCTGTGGAATGATATCTTCTCCAAGAAAGTCATCGCAAGAGCCATTGGCCTGGTAGGATTAACCATCCAGCTATCTATATATCTGTAGTAATATCTTGAACTATAATTTGCAGCGCGAAAGTTCCATAGACCAGCTGAACATACCCCTGGACTCTGTTTTGTACGAGGCACATGCCAAGCAGGAAATCTTTCTGGAAATTCTCCTAAAGGATCAAGATGATCAGGTTGTTGCACAAAACTATTTCTATCCCGTGGCCATTAAGCACATTGTTGGCATGAAGGATCCCGAACTGCGGGTAAGTGCTTCAGTTGTCCAATAGCTGTTCCCCAATTAAAGGGTATTCCCCTTGAAAATAGCTTGAGGTGGTGGGCATCGACTGCAGCACCACATCCTCGCCCTATGCCAATAGCTTCAGTATCCGAATTACGGTTAAGTATCCGGCTCTGTTCGTCTACTTGGAGCTGACCGATCCGGAATATGCCAATCAAAGGCATACCTTCTCCATGAATGGCTTTACACAGACCGTGCCGCGGCAAAATGTCTACTTGGAGTTCGAAAACGATTCGACTTGCCTAAAACTCACGTCGGAGCACATCGGCGTAAAGACCATGAATCAGTATATGCTTTGAGTTAATAAATGACAATATATCAATATATATATTAAATCATGCATATTGTAGCATAGTATATTGAAATAAACAGGGTATTACTTGGGTTGCATCAGAGATTCGAAATAAATTGAATGCAGACCCGAGAATCTCACAAAGTCTAAATTTACCCCACAAAAAGTTGCTTAACTCTTGTGCTATAGATAGAGTTCATGTTCATTTTGAAATTGTGGTTTTTTTTCGAAATTTGTAAATGTTATTTTAACAGTATTTTGCCAAGCGTACGTATCGCCTGGAAGATACTTTTACGATAGTAGCATCTATTGTTGAATGCGGATCATATATTTATATCTAAAATCAAAATCGATATTGACAGCACCTTTCCCTCTATATATCTATTTAACACACTTATTTTCTAAAGGTGAAGATAAGAAACATTTAAAAATAATTGCAAATAATTGGGATAAGGAAAGTTCTTTGGCTAATGTCAGACCCAGGTAAAAGCTCCGTATCGGAGAATATTCCTTATCAATGGCATTTCTTTATTATGAATATTATTGACATAATCTAAAAAAAAAAATTATGAAAAAATTTGCTTCCCGGTTATCTCAGTATATTTGTCAACCCATGGACTCCATTCTAATAACAAACAAGTAAGAGGTTCCAGTCGGGAGCTCCCGACTAGGGGATACACTGAAGCCTCTTCTTCCAACATCAAATGCATATATACATTCTAAATTATTATTTACCTTATTACCTCTTATTATTTACCAAAATTGCCCAAAAAACAGGATATCGATATCGATTTGTATCGATTGCTTGGAAACGGAGTAAGTTATCGATTATCGGAAACAAACTCGATCTGCGCGGGCATTAGGAGCACCTACATCTAATTTCCAGTCTCTAGCTCTTATAGGTTCTGAGATCCTTGCGTTCATACATACGGACAGACAGACACGGGTATAAAAAACAAGAGAGAAGAGCACGCCGAAGATTGTATACCCTTGCGGACATTTAACCTTTGCCTGGAAAGCAGAATATTTTGACATGCAAAAACTTAATATTTATCAGATTGTTCTTATAGTGCTATATAGTATAGTAATGCGATATTGATAAGATTTGATTCATCGGGAAGCTAAAGATATCTTGATAAACAAATAAGTTTTCAATACAAAATTTTAATTTTCGATCGATCGCTCCTATGACAGCTATATGATATATAAGTTCGATCCATCTATACGAAAAAATCATTTGAGACGTGGAAAGTGCGATTCCAAGACTTTTTTGGTGAAGATTTAAGATTTTACGATTTGCTGTAATTTATTGTGAAAGCTATATAAGAACTTAATGAATATTTGCTTTAGCGTTTTGCTTAATTTCACCCGAAACAGTGGTAAATTGGCGGAAAACATTTGCATTAAAATTTTATTTGTTTACCGTTCGATAAGCCTAAAGCACATTTTCAATAATCTTTGCGAGAATATATTTGATACGTGCCACGGGCAAGGTCGGGCAATGCCCGCTAGCAATAAATAAACGTACTAGGTACGCAAAATTTTGTTGGCTAGTGTTATCAGCACACACTATCGCTCCCCCTCTCTCTCTCTCTCTCTCTCTCTGTCTGTGTGGTATTCTCTCTCTCTGACTGTTTACGCTCTGAACAGAAGCCGATCTCTAGCATATGCCGGCCGTCCAAGTCGGTTATCATCAGTCCATTTGCGGCCCTTCCCGATGCCAGACGCATCAATTTTTGCAGCTCGGAACGGAACGAAGAGTACGGAAAAAGGGGGCTCGCGCGGGCACGAATTTTGGTGGGTAGCGTGTTTGTGTTTTACTATGTATAATTATTTTTTTTTATTAATTGTTTATTTGTTTGTTGACGTCGCGAAGAAGTTAGACTAAATAATTTGCAGCAATTTTTGCGCAAAGCAAAAATGAATAAGAAATTTTATGACCGTTTGCTGGGACTTGGACTGGTGCTGGGCGTGCTGCTGGTGGGCCGGGTGGAGGGCGATGCCGTCGAAGTAATTGAGCTGGGCAGCAATTGGAGTTTATCTAATCAGAATAGCTGTAAGTATTCGCAAAACTTTTGGGCAACAGGGCGACCAAAAGCTTGAAGATTGTCGCTTATCGCAGCGTGTTTTTTTTTTGCTCGCCTGTCAATTGCATTATCGGCTCAGGTGAAACACCTGAATTAACCTGTCTAAAGTGCGCCAAAATTCGTGTTGCAGCCTTTACGCGTTTGCTTAATCTGACGCTGCCCTCGGGCATATACAGCGCCTTTCCCGGCCTATTGCCCAATGTGCTGGAGTCCTACAACGATGTGAATCTCCGCTGGATGGCCTACGACAATTGGACGTACATCAATGAGTTCAAGTGTGAGTGCAGCTACCCTTGGAGTCCTCCATAATCTATAGTCGAAATTCGTGCAGTTGATGTGGAGCACTATAAGCGCGTGCGCAGCTTTAATCTGACGTTCCATGGCATCGACACCGTGGCCGAGATCCGGCTGAATCGCCAGCTCCTGGGACGCACGGACAACATGTTTGTGCGCTATTCGTACGATGTGACTAAGCTGCTGGAGCAGGAGAATGTGCTCGAGGTGGAGATCACATCGCCCGTATGGGCAGCACTGGCCCGGGCCAGGGCATTGAGCGCGGCGGATCGCAGCGTGCCACCGGACTGTCCGCCGGAACGCTATCATGGCGAATGCCATGTCAATATGCTGCGCAAGATGCAGGCTAGCTTTGCCTGGGACTGGGGACCGGCGGTGCCGTCGATGGGTCTGTGGAAGAGCGTGCAGCTGGAGATGTACGAGGTGGCCCTACTCCGTGATGTCGATGTGGACATTAGCCGCAACGAGACACACTGGAACATGCACATCAGCTGCTACATGGACGCCCTGGGCAAAGAGAACTTCAATGCCCAGCTAATCTTCTATGCCGTGTAAGTAGACCTTGACATAATCACACACATGATCTCTGATCCCAATGTGCCTGCAGCGAGCTACTCAATCAGACGGTGGTCATTTCGCAGCCCGTCAGCCACTTGTCGCCGGTAATTGTCTTTGATCAGGCCGTGCCAATTGTGAGTAACGTCCGCTAATTGAGCTGATTGGCAACGATGTCAAGTGCACGCCTTGTTTTCCAGGCGGACGTCGTGCCCTGGTGGCCCAATGGCTATGGCCAGCAGAAGCTCTATCCGCTGCACTTTACCCTTAACGCCTGGCTGGGCGCCACCGGGCCGGAGCTGCGGGCCAAGACCAAGTCGCAGAAGTCGCTGCGCGTTGGCTTTCGCACATTGGAGCTGGTGGAGCGTCCAGCTCCGGATGGCAGAGGCAACACTTTTCTCTTTCGCGTCAACGGACTGGAGATCTTCATGAAGGGCAGCAATTATATACCATCCCACATATTGCCAGAGAATCAGACCGCCGAAAGTGGTCAGTATGATAGTCGAGTTAGCTCTTCATACCCTTCCAGAGGGTATTATGATTTTGTCGTGAATTGTGTAACGCATAGAAGCAGACTTCTCCGAGCCCATAAAAGCATTTATATATTCTTCTAGCCGAGTCGGATCGGACCACTATATATTCTACAAGAACCTACAGCTATATTGTAGTTTCTAGTGGGTTCTTGTATGAACAACTTTTTTGTTTATCAAGATATCGTTATGATCGGCATTAACTATTTACCCTTATGAAAAAGTTGTGCCTGCAAGGGTATTAATTCTTCGACGTGCTTCTTTCTCATTTTTCTATTGACAACACAATTAAGATTCGAGGTCTGCCTATATGTATGTGAGATAGTTTTTAGCTGATCGGTTCATTTTAATTGATCAGTCAGTCAGTCAGTCAGTCAGTCAGTCAGTCAGTCAGTCAATCAGTTTTATATATAGACATATTGTTTACATTTTTGCAGTTGGATATCTGCTGGAATCGGCGAAGGAGGCGCACATGAATATGATACGCGTGTGGGGTGGAGGTGTTTATGAATCGGACTTCTTCTACGATAAGGCCGACAGCCTGGGCATACTCATTTGGCAGGATATGATGTTCGCCTGCGCCATGTACCCGACGACACCCGAGTTTCTCGCCTCGGTGGGCGAAGAGGTGCGACAGAATGCGAAGCGACTGTCGCATCACGCAAGTATTGCAATCTTTGCGGCCAACAATGAGAATGAGGCAGCTCTTGTGCAGAATTGGTATCATACGTTGGCGGACTTGGATCGGTTCAAGGCCGAATACCGGGAGCTGTATCTGGGCCATGTTGTACACGAGCTGAAGCTTGTGTCGCACAGCGGGCGACCCGAGCCGCTGGTGTCCTCGCCATCAAATGGCAAGGCCAGCGAGAAGGACAACTACATCTCGGAGAATCCGCAGGATGAGCACAATGGCGACGGTAAGACTCATCAAATGCTTGATGCACGAATCCCAAATATTTGCCGCTTCTAGTGCACTTCTACGACTACTTCAAGGATGCCTGGGATCCGAATACCTACCCACGTCCGCGCTTTGCCAGCGAGTACGGCATCCAATCCCTGCCCGGCGCCTATGCCTGGGAGCGCAGCAAAGGAGTTGGCGTCGAGCTGACCGAGCTGATGGGCCATCGGCAGCATCATCCGCTGGCCATGGTGCCCATCACGACGCAATTGTTCCAGCACTTGCCGCTGCCGCTGCCCGAGGACAAGGACTACAATCAGGCGCTGATCTACTTCAGTCAAATCTCCCATGCCATGGCCACCAAGGTGGAGACGGAGCTGTATCGCAGCCTGCGCGACACGTCCCACAATACCATGGGCGCACTCTACTGGCAGCTGAACGATGTCTGGGTGGCGCCCTCCTGGTCCGGCATCGATTTCTATGGCAACTGGAAGGTGGGTCACGATCAGCTGAAGTACCTTCAATGCATGCTAAACCTGTCCTTTGTTCCTGCAGCTGCTGCACTATTGGGCACGCGACTTTCTGGCTCCGATTGCCATCGTGGCGCTCTTCGATAAGCCCACGGGCTTGCTCGAGATATCGCTGGTGTGTGACGAACCGCGCGTGGATACATCTCAACTGACCGTCGTTGGCAACATTCATCTGTGGTCGCAGCTGATGCCGCGCCAGTCCAGAAACTGGACGGCCACCCTGCGCCCCAACGGCGTGCAGTACGACAAAGTTATTCCCATAAAGGATTGGCTGCAGGGCGAATTCAATGAGCACAATGCCTACTTTGAGTTCCAGCTGCGTCGCGATCAGACCTTAATCTCCCGCACCTATTTCTTTCCCAGCAGCATTGCCAGTGCTGTGGGCATCGCCGATCCGGAGCTGGAGGTGAGTGGACTCCGTCTCACTTGAGCTAACATCAGCTACACTTAACCTTATTATACACTTGCAGAGGGTATTTTAGTTTTGTCAGCAAATATGTAACATCTCCATCTCCATCTCCATCTATTCCACCTGTCCGTCCGTCTGCCTGCCCGTCTATCGGCTTCTATGCAAACTAGTCTCTCAGTTCTTAAGTTCTTACAAAAAACACCAAAGTTAAGGTAGAAGACATTTTCCATAGGATGTGTTAGGAAGTGAAGAAAAACGTGGAGGAGGAGGAGGAGGAAGCTTGCAAGTTGTTTTGTCAATAATGAAAATATCTTTGAATCTTGCCCAGTTCGACATCTCATCGAAGACCTGCGTGGACACCACAAGCGGCAAACGGAACAGCATCAGCATCACGATCACCGTGAAGCGTCCGGCTGTGTTTGTTTACCTGGAGCTGCAGATGGCGTATAGGTACAAGCTATCCGAGAATGGTTACATGCAGACGACGCCCGTGCATGTGGTGCATGCGACGATCGAATCGAGTTCCTGCATTCGCATATGGCGCAAGGCGAACGTTAAGATCTGGACCGTGAATCAGTTCATGCGCCAGGCGTAGGGGATATACATATTTAATTTTAATGCAACATATATAAATAACTTAACAAATCAATAAATGTAATGGAAATATTTAAATACACATATGTGAAGTAGGAAGGCGGCTTGCCAACGAGCCTATCTGTCGAAGCTGGGCATCTGGACGCGCGGCGGCGTGTAGCCCTCGGGATATGGCACCAGCTGATTGTTGAGTACGCGCGCATTGCGCCAGGTCTTCACCCGATCCTCGGCCGTGTCTGGTACGCGTACACCCTCGATTAGTGTCACCGCCGGCCCATCTACAACACTGTGCGTGCTCTGGCCAATGGGATTGCGATGCGCATTGCTTGGCGCTGGTGTTCGGCGCGTGGGCGTGGCCACGCCCGCACTGGCCGTTACCACCACGGAGTGCGGCATGTAGCTGACATACTTGGATTTCGGCGGCAAGGAGTTGTAGTTGTGCTTGGTGATCAGATTCTGTGGCGGACGCGAGCCCCGCCCACCGCCATTTCCATTCCCTGGATAGGCGCGTGCATCGCGGCTGTAATAATCCGTCTGCTCGGAGCCGGCGTACTGCTGATCGCTGGGAAAGCTGATGGGTCTGCCCTCGGCCTGGCGCAGCACGCGCGGCTGTGCCTCGACGGTATCAGCATAGGTATACGGCTGCCACTGGCGTTCCATGGCCAGCGAGTAGTTGTTGTTGTTGTTGCTGCGCGCCGTCGGCTGCGCCTGGAAGTAGATCGGCTGCCAGGCGGGGCCGCTGCCCAACTGGCGTCCCGTGCGCAGCGTCTGCTGCTCCAGCGCCTTGCTCTGCGCCTTGGCCAGCTGCAGCTGTATGAACTTGGCCTGGCGCTGCTCCGCCTCCGCCTTGCGCTGACGATAATCCTGCTGCTGCTGGGCCAGTTCGCTCTGCTTCAGCAGCGCCGGCGTATGCTCGAAGATCAGCTGCCGGGCAGCCGGATTGGCATTGCTTCTGGCCTGGCCGGAAGCCGGCCGCTTGACATCGGAGCTGCGCACGAAAAAGGAGCCGGCGGCCTCCTCGGCACGCGCCTTGCGGCTATTCCTGCCCACCAAGATCTCCACATTCTCGCCCTGACTGGACTTGACGTTCACCACACGCACCTTCGACGGATCCAGATTGCGTCCGAAGCGCAGCTCGGTGCGCAGCAGCGACGGCTTGCCCGTTGCCTGCCCATGCTCATTGCCATTGCCCTCGGCCACGCCCATCAGGAGCGCAGCATAGACTATCAAAGCCGCCGCAGTCATCCTTGACGTCGTCGCTGTTGCCATCTCTTGGTGCGTCTGCTGTGAAATTGACGCAAAATTGATGCCAAATTAGTGAGAGTTAATTATATAGAAATTTAGGTGTGGAATGGGATGGCTGAGCAAGTGCAGCCAGTCATAAGTTTCGCAATTCTTCAACAACTTTTGTTGCTATGATAATTTTATTGTCAGCGAGTTCAACCAAGAGCTGTAAATGAACTCCGTGCGGGCTTTATTTATCAGTCCCTAAACTCTTCTGGGCATAGTATAATAATTTAATAATAATAATTGATTAGTAAACCGAAACGTGTAAAGATTACGCAACAATTATGATAACATTTGGTTAAGACAGCTTTCTACTTAAAAAAATTAATAATTTTTTATCCCAAAAAAAGATAAATTGTAATCAAATCTTTTACAGCCGATTAATTATTTTGTAATACATTCAAAGGGCGTTTTCCGATCCGATTAGTGTCGTGAGAAAAACACAGTATAAAGCCTTCGACTTAATTTGTTACTTAAATAAAACAATAAATCATCAGCTAAAGTTTTACTTCTGCCTGCCAGAGGCAGGTGGGAAAAGCCCTTATGCAATTTGTGAACTTAGCAGATCAAGCAGATCAAAAGGTCTCAATCAAAAAATATTTCCAAGATTTTTGAAAAGATAGATCAACACATTAATATAATCATTTTGTCTCAAAATATGCAACGAATCTAAGTAGACATCCATAAAGTGTATACATATTATATGTTCCGAGTTCATGTCCAAGTCGGACGATTGCACAATATGTACATTATTCTATATAAATTGCATTGATTAAAATATTTGTTCTAAATGTAAAACACACTTGGCTTACACAATATACTCACAGATCTCAGCTGAAACAAGCCTGACTATATACATTATATATACAGATACAAAATATATATAGTCAAAATCTTATCAACAATAATCTATTTTATCATATAGCTGACATGTGAACAATCGGGCGATAAACGGACTTTTTGCATGAAAACATTAATGTATTGCTAATGCATTAATTCATATAATACATCTGGCTAATGTATTAATATCACAAACCTAGTCATTGCTGAAAAAGCATTTTATCTTTACTTTACCGAAGCTTTTCCGTTTCAATCAAATTGTTTTTAAATAATTTTTTGCATATATTAATCATTTCCAAAACCCATTGCCATTGCAAGTAAGAGAGAAAGGGTATATATAAAGCTGTACAGCTTTCTGTGTATGTTGAAATGAAAGAAGCTGATTGCAGGGTATCACCTAGTTGGGCACACTCAACTAGCGCACTTTTACTTGTCCTTGTTAGACTTTAGGCGGATCTTGTGGCGGCTCTTTTTTTTGTGTTTTCACACCGGTTAATTAGCCCGGCCGACTCGTGTTGTTGTACTTTTTAACAGCTCGTTGGATTTCGGCTCATTATTGCCGGCCGTGTTGCTCTTAATTTAATTATTGACAACCAGCCAAGCAGCCAACCAGACTGAGTGCATCTTCGTACGATTTTTTATTGCACTTACTGTGTGCGTGTGTGTGAGAGTGTGTGTGTGTGTGTGTGTGTGTGTGTGTGCTGGGCTCAGAAAGCGAAACAGCGATTAAAAAACTGCAATGCTTAACTTTCGTTTGTGGCATGAGGAAATCGTCGGTTGCCTTTTGCCGCAGCCAGCATTCAGCGACAATTTCCGACTGTTTGCAAATGCCACGCCCCATTCGTGATTTGTCAAACGTTGACACTGAAGCTGATTTGCAGCGCTCGAGCAGCTGATATCGCCAAAGCCAGACCCTGGAGTCGCGCGACTCAGTCTGGAAGCACATTATGCCTCAATGGAGGCCAGGCTGCTTTTGCACCTGGAGCAGCCTTCAGCTAAACAGTTGTCAAATAGGAAAACGTTGCACAAGCTTTTAGCTTGCCTCCGCACACGCTTATCTAAAACAGGAAGTGCCCCTTTCGTGAAGTACATTTCAATTATGTTAAAAAGGCTCGCAAAACGACTTCTCTCTATAAAAAAAAATATACAATAATAATCAATGCATTTGTCATATTTGGCGTGAGAAACTGTGCTCAAATATAAACTTTGATAATGGAAAAAAAATTAGGAATATTATCTATGCATACAGAATAAGATTGGGAACAGTTTATTGACCCGATATCTAATTAAAACAACCGTCAGTAAACACAAAGTAGTCACAAAATATTTGTTAAATTTCGATTGTCACAAACAAATATTTAATCTACGTTTATTTCAAAGATAACGTTCTTTATTGAACAATATTAATTAGGTGCGTTTCAGAACTCAGCTTGATGGATAATAGTTGTTTACGATATAGAGGCAGATCATGTTGATATAACATTTACGATATAGGTAACATTTACGATATAAATAACATTTATTTTACATGTAAAGGGCATGCAAATTTCTCATTTTTGGAAAAAATATATAAACAAAATTAGAGACAGGAGGATCTAAATCTACCTATAACAACTGATCAAGCCTAATCGAGCAATATATAATATATAATAATTTCGTATCAGTTGTATATCAATATCACGCATAAATTACTCCTTCTATTCGAAATTTTAACGAGCCTCTGGTCTGCTCTGATCTGATTAATGTTGACCCGCCATCCCACCTTGCGGGCGTAACCGCCAATCAATGTGACAGGTAAGTACGTATTTAAGTATTTGATGGCCGAGTCACAGGACCATTTATTGCAATTTGCGTTTGATCAATTGAAGTTTGGCCTATTGATTGGCTGCATAATTGGGCTGAATGAACTGCGATATTACGCATACGCCGCGTACTGCTGCCAACGAGTCGCTAATGAGTGAAAATCTATCGACAAAATGAGCAAAACAATTAAGCGAATTGTAAATTGTGAATTGTAAATTGTGAATTGCAATTTCAATAAATGCGCACGGCAAAGTTCACGGCACGACCACGACTCGGCCAATCTGGGTAACCGCCACATTGGTGCTGGCCCAGCTCGTGGCCCAAACTCTCTGCGACTCGCCGACTTGCCGACTTTCACTTTCAACTCAAGCTCGGCGGCGGCGACGCGGCTGAGTGCACCGCGCTCCCAGCTGAACTTTTTGTTGTTATGAAATCGTCGCAATCATCGCGCGCTCACACTGTAACAACAACAACAACAACAACAATAACAAAAACACGTTTTACTTTTTGCACAACAACAACAGAAGAAAAACCAAACAGAAAAATAACAATAATAATAAAAAAAAAAAGAAGTCAACGCTTGCTATTGAGCGCTTGGTCTCTTTTTCTTTAAGCCTTTCTTAAGTCTTGGCCAGAGTTTTTAGGCCGCTGGCCGCCAACAGCTGCGTCGACGCCAGCAGCGACGCCAGCGATCGCGGCTTCAATGTCACGGCGCAGTCGCGGCCGGCGGCGACGTCGTCGCTTTTTGAAGCTTTGCCGTTGCGTCTTCGTAGCGTCAGTTTTTTGTTTTTTTTTTCGGCCACTTTTGTTCAATGAAAATTACATCATTTCAAGTTTTGGAGCGAAGCGAGGCAGGAAATGCGACTGAAACAATTTATCAGCGGCTGGTCAGCGTCAAAATCGGTGTCATAGCCCTGCGGGTTTTGCTTCGAAGTGCCGATGTTGAAACGTAAACTGCAATTATTATTATGTATGTGCAATTTGTTTAAGTTGTAAATATGTCTGTTGTGTCTATGTGGGTTTTTTTTTTTTCTGCTCTCCGAACTAACATGACTAACTTGCCGCTGCTACTAGTCAAATAAATAATAAAAAAAAAAAAAAACAAAACAAAAAATAGGCTGCAACCACAAA